CTCCCTGGCAGTGCTGAAATACCGCCCCCCTTTTTCTTCGTCGACATTTAAAAGTTCCTCAAAATATTCTTGCCATCTACCCAATCCCTCCATTCCTCCATCTACTACCTCCCCTACTCTATTTTAACTGACAAATCTATTCGTTCCCTAGGCTTTCTTATTTGTTTAATTGACTCCAAAATTTTTTCTTATTTTCATTAAAATTTCTTGACAGTGCCTCTCCCACTCTATCATCTGCTCTCCTTTTGCATTCTCTCACCACTCTCTTCACCTTTCTTTTGCTCTCCATATATAAAGTAAAAAGACACAAGTGCAACTAATGTGACATTTTATTGTGGCAATGTTTTGTCCCCCAGGACTTTATCAAGCCTTTACAAAAAATACATGAACACAGAGGGGTAATATCTTAAACACTCAGGCGACCTTCTAAAACCGGGCATCTGAAACCTCTCCATCCGTAACAAGAAACTAAGCAGTTTGGACTGACTTTCCCTCTTCACAAAAGTACCTACCCACAAAACCCCATCAAGGTTCTATGATGTAAAGTCATCAGGACCTTAATCTTCCTCTACCCTCCCGGAGATTTTTTTGACTTGATTGAACTCCGTGTTAATTTAAACTGTTTTTCTTTCAATAACAAGCTCTACAAACAAACCCCTACGGCATGGGAATGGGGTCCCCCATCAGTGCATCCTAGCCAACTTATACATGGAACACCTAGAGCCCGAACACTTCGCCAACATCACCCCTTCAAGTGTCACTTGGTTACTTTAAACGTGGACGACATCCTCGTAATAACTCCCAAACGTTTTGATGTACAGAATCTTCAGGCAAGGCTCAACGCAGTTGAACCGGCGATCCAGTTTACACTAGAAGAAGAGTCCAATGACAAGCTACCTTTCCTCGACGTCCTCATTCACAAAGTAGACAACAACCTAAGACTTCAAGTTTATCGGAAACCTACCAATAAAAATGATCTCACACACTTCTATTCCAGTCAAGATAGCAAGACCAAAAGAGGCATCACATCGGGTTTTTCCTAAGAGCATACCGAATTGTAGTCCTGAGTTTCTTGACGAGGAATGAAACATACATTCACCAAACATTCACTGAGTTAAACATTTTCCTTCCTTTTTCATCAAAGACTGAAAGAAAAGAGCTCTTCAGATCATTAATTCTCCATGCACCAACACCACTCCCAACAAAGTTATAATTCTTCCCAACAGCCAGGTTGCACTGAACGTTTCTAAAGTACTTTCACAAGCTAACACCAGAGTCGCCATCGCTTCTAGAACTTCAATAAAGGATCTAACCAGGACAAAATCAAAAGCACCACGAACCAGTCAACGCAGGAGTTTACACAATACCCTGTGGAGGCTGTGACAAAATTTATGTAGGTGAAACAGCAAGAACCTCAACCCCGCCTCAATGAACACTTTACGCATGTAGGAACGATAACTTGAACAACGCCTGTGTACAACACTGAAATTCCACCAATCATCTCATGAAATTCAGGGACGCCCAATTAGTGATAAAAGAAACTAATTTCCGCAGACGCAAGTGCCTCGAATCAGCACTGATCGCTGTTTCGAAACAATTAAACAAAACAACGCCAGCTTCACCATCTCTGAAGTCTTAGCAAGAACCCTCCTGAAAACAGAAAAACCCTGCCATCACATAGCCCTCTCCTGTTATACTACAACAAAGCACATTACAGAGAGTGACACTGAAACAGGTTTGCCTCTATCCAGTCTATATTTGTCCAACCTATTTTTATGTTACCCAAGAATAGCTTTTATATCATTTTACTCATGTACAAATTAATTGCTCTACCATATTGTTTTACTACTACTACTACAACTTAATTCACTACTACTACTACTACCACTAGTATTGCACCTCACTCTGAGCCTATATATACCCTCGTGTCCATGTATTGTTTGTAATGGCTTGATAAAGCTCCTGGAGAGCGAAACGTTGCCACAATAAATGTCACATTAGTTTGCACTTGTGTCCTTTTACTTTACATATTGTCCCGTAATTCAAACCAACTTTATTACACTCTCCATATACTCTATCTCTTTATAACACTTCTACTTGTAAAAACCTCTCATAAGCTACCTTTTTCTCTTTATCACACCCTTTACTTCATCATTCCACCAATCACTCCTCCTTCCTCCTGTACCCACCCTCCTATAACCACAAACTTCGCCCCAAAATTCTAATACTGCATTTTTAAAACTATTCCAACCCTCTTCAATCCCCCCACTATTCATACTTGCACTAGCCCACCTTTCTGCCAATAGTTGCTTATACTCACCCGAACTTCCTCCTCCCTTAGTTTATACACTTTCACCTCCCTCTTACTTGTTAATAACAAAAAAGGCACAATACCGTGACTGGAACGATACACAAATAACCCGCACATAAGAGAAGCTTACGACGACGTTTCGGTCCGACTTGGACCATTTACAGTCACACTAACCAGAAGTGGGGCAGGACGGCTATATATAGGCAGGAAGAGGTGGTGGTGGTGGTGGTAGTAGTGGTGGTGGTAGTAGTGGTGGTGGTAGTAGTGGTGGTGGTAGTAGTAGTACAAGAATGGTAATAAACCGACAAGATGAAATTAAGACACATGCGCAACACCCCGGGCATCCCTATCGTAGATGTTTCGCCATCCAGCCAGCCACTGGATGGCGAAACGTCCACAACAAAGGGCAACCAGATGCCGCACATGTGTCTTAATTTCATCAGTAGTTGTAGTAGTAGTAGTAGAAAGTAGTAGTAGAGAGGTAGTGGTAGTAGTAGAAGTGGGGAATAAGGAGGACAGCCAGTCAAATACAAAGGAAGGGAGCACTGCAAGAGAGCTAGGTGCCCACAGAGGGAGAGCAAGCGCACAGAGGTGCGTGAAAGGGGAAGTGGTGAAATAAATGAAGAAGGAACAGAAACACGAGACAGAAGAGAGAAAGACAACCCAGAGGAGAAAAGGAAAGAGGAAAGGGGAAGAGGGAGAGGGAGAAGAAGAAAAAGAAAAAGAAAAAATGAGGAGTCAGGTTTTAAATCACGGGTGTTCTGAAGTTTGGAGCATTTTACAATGTAGTGGAAGAGGAAGGGATCTACAGAGACGAAGCCAGGGCTAAGGTTCATACAAGGAAAGTTGTTTATTAGAGAGGATTCAACTAGACGGCGACTGTTCGAGTTGGAAGTAGGGGAAGACAGTTTTAGCAGAAGACCAGTCAATAGGATGGCTATGATCTCTGACGTGACAGAAAAGAGCATTGTTAGTGTCGGCAAGCCTAACACAAATTTTTTTGCTCCCTAAGTCTGTCAGAAAGAGATCACCAGTTTTCTCCGAAGTATTGAAAGAGGGCAGGAGGAGCAAGAAATAAAGTAGACACCAGGAACATCAGTAGAGGGGGAGAGGTATGAACGAGATTACTGCGAAGAGTGTTTTGTCTGGCGGAAGGTAAGCTTGATGTCTAAGGATGGAAGAATTGTTGAGATTAGAAAGACCGGAAATGTAGGGAAGGCAGAGGATAGAAGAGTTCCAGGAGTAGAGAGTTTGGGAGAGAAAAATTGCATTTAGCACGTGAGAGGGGAGAGTCTATGAAATGGGAAGGGTAGCCAAGACGGAAGACGAAATTGTAAAGTGGAAATTTCTACTGGAAGAAACTGAGGATCACAGATGCGGAGGGCACGGAGAAAGAGGGAGATCAGAACACTTTTCTTGACAGGGAAGCATGATAGGAAAAGTAGTGAATGTACATGCCACTGTGCATAGGTTTTCGGTAAACAGAAAAGAAAACCTGTATCTGAGCGGTGGACATGGACATCAAGGAAAGGAAGCAAGGAATTAGATTCCCATTCAGCTTTAAACTTAATGGAAGGGCAAGATTATTTTCCTCTTGTCCCATCTACCTCTTACTCTAAATTGTAGCTACAACTAAATAATGATCTAATATATCAGTTTTCCCCTCTAAAAACAAGTACATCCTGAGCCTACCCATCAACCTTTTATCCACCAATATATAATCTAACAAACTACTTTCATTACGTAATGAACTCTTCATAACACTATTAATTTTCATTTTAAAAACAATTTTAGAATTTAAGCACATCAGTATATTTCTCACCAAGGCAGGACAACCCAATAAGGAAAACAGTCACAAATCACTCAATGCCTAGCTACCTTTCTGGAAGTACATGGACAACCCATTTTAAGTGATATACCAAAACGCAAATCCCCAGCCATGCATCAGAGTGCAGGTACCTCTAAATACTCAAGTTGGGCAAAATATTTTTAAAAATTTAAAAACACAAACAAGCAATACTAATGACTGAGTTCAGCTGAAGCTGACAGAAAACATGCTTAAGGTGGATTCATCTGCAAGAGTATGACCAATTAAGTATTATGACAACATATGTGAGTGAATTATTCAACGTACAAAACAAAAACTTTCCTGAATGATACTTACTGGTCTTTGATTGGCCAGTCAGGGAAGCGTTCCACATCACATAAATGTTTCAAGTAGTAAATATCACAGAATAGTTCATGCTGCAGCTGAGGGTAAGTGATATGTGGGATTAGCAACAGTAACTGGTAAAGGGCCCGAGTGTTGCTCATGAGAGGGAGGAGTGAAGTCTGCTAGGTGCGACGCCAATTTTTCAATCATGTGTCTGCGCATTTCATTACTCCAAATTACCTACAAAATGTGGTGATAGTTAATAAACACATTAGAAAAGTTATTTATAATGAAAAGCAGAATAAAAGTCAAAATAATTACACAACAAAAGAATGTAACATTTACAGGCTATTCGGTACCTCTGGAGTGTCAAATTCTCCTAAAAGATCTCAGCAAATTTATCAGCACCATAATTCTCAAGATAGCAGACCATAGCCTCAGGAAGAATCTGGCCCAAGATACTCTGGTTCATGATGTCTCCACCAGTGTTCTGTTACAGCATGGTAAGAGAATGATTAATATTAAGGCAACAACATGGTGAAATCTATTGAGTATAACAAATGATTGAATGAGTCATGCATGCATATTTTTTACATTCAATACTAATTCACAACAATTTACATGCATATGTACTTCATAGTCAAAATTTCTAGTACAGTGGTACCCTGAGTTTCGTACAGCTCCCAACTCAAACAATTATGTAAGTGTATTATTGTAAGTGCTTTTGTAAGTGTATTTTTGGGGGGTCTGAAATGGACTAATCTAATTTACATTATTCCTTGTGGGAAAAAATTCATTCAGTAATGGCACTCGAACAGCCTTTTGGAACGAATTATGGCTGAAACTCCGGGTACCACTGTACAATAGCACTTACCTCCTCTGCTCTGAATGACTGCTGCATATGAGACATGTGGAGGAATCGCCCAATAGGCAGCACATTCGAGCCCATATACATGAGGATGAAGTAAAATACTCCTGTTGTGTACACTGTTGAAATGTTTGGATTGTCTTGCATGATCTCCACTAAAAGTGTAGAAACCTATTTGAAGTAAAATAATGTAACATTCTTACAAACATCCAATAAAGCTGACAGAGAAAAGCCCTTCAGTCACAGTAGTTTAGTGATAGCTCTAGATCAACAATTTATTCTTATAATAGAAGCAATTGGATAAGTTTTAACCAAACAGAAAATGTTAATAAAACTATTAATGACATCTATAAAATGTAATTTAATATATATCATAAGATTAATGGTCCAGCTGCACAAGTTGTGTTTGTTTCATACACAAGTATAGAGATGGGTTTAAGAACTAAAAATATTAAATAAATAAATTTTCTGCATATACAGATACAGTATCTAAATCTGACATTTAGAAACAAAATTTATTTTTGAAACAAACCCAACAGCACTCTAAAGATGAATTCTCATGAAAAACTGGTTGGCAACTTCATAAGTAAACTGTAATTAACATGAAATTCAAACACTCCCCTCAAAAGCTTCAATGTAATCTTTAATCATTATAACAACAAACAAAAAAAATTGTATTCTTAAATTACCTTTTCAACTAGGACTGGGTCAAAAGTGAGCAAATAATTGGACAATGTGTGGAAGAGAGAGTGGGTCAGAGAGCAGCCGCTTGATGCGAGGTAGTGGACGTATAACTGCTCCGTCGTCTGTCCGTGACGGAAAGTATCTACACATGGTGATGAGCATGTTTAGGATGAGGGTTGCAAGGTCACTTTCTGTCATGACTGCATTAGCCTGAAAATAAAGCATATTTTAAAAATTTAACATGTGATGCAGTTTGCATACTTTGAGGTGAACAAATATATCTAGATGTACTTATTAACATAAAGTAGAGAATGGAGTTGAACATTAGCTTACTCCAAAACATAAGAGAATACTGTAATGCCTTTATTATTCTGATCTCATATGCTAAAATAACAAATAGTAATAATGATCTTACAGTTGCAGCCATAGACCACTTGAGTTGGGGTATACTACTCAGAGGGTGCCAGCCATCCATACCCTGTGCCCAACATAGCGTTTTGGGTTTATGGTGCCGCTACTCCAAAAATCTTTAAGTTCCTTAAAACTAAATGGTCCAGCTCGTTCTTTGTTAATGCCCTGGAAAACAAATACCATGGGTTTAGTTAAATATTAACAATGCTGGTCAGTAATAACCCTAATGCAGAGAATTCAAAGCATGGAGATTAGGAGGAGGTGCAGGGTTACTAAAATATAATCCAGAAGGCTGAGGAGGGGTTGATGAGGGGGTTAGGACATTTAGAGAGGATGACCTGGAGGGTGTATAAATCTGTAGTAGAGGTAAAGGTTGGAGGGAGGGGGGTAAAAGAGGTAGGAAGGTAGGTAGGGGTAGGAGGATTGTGTGCTCACCTATTTCTGGTTACAGGGGTCGATTCACAGCTCCTGGCCCCACCTCTTCACTGCTAGGTCCACTCAGAGTGTGTGTGTACTCACCTAGTTGAGGTTGCAGGGGTCGAGTCCAAGCTCCTGGCCCTGCCTCTTCACTGGTCACTGTGTGTGTGTGTGTGTGTGTGTGTGTGTGTGTGTGTGTGTGTGTGTGTGTGTGTGTGTGTGTGCATGTGTGTGTGTGTATGTGTGTGCGCGTGTGTGCGTGTGCGCGTGTGTGTGCATTTTCATGTGTGCGTGTGCGTGTGTGTGTGTGTGTGTGTGTGTGTGTGTGTGTGTGTGTGTGTGTGTGTGTGTGTGTGTGTGTATGTGTGTGTGTGTGTGTGTGTGTGTGTGTGTGTGTGTGTGTGTGTGTGTGTGTGTGTGTGTGTGTGTGTGTGTGTGTGTGTGTACTCACCTATTTGTACTCACCTATTTGTGGTTGCAGGGGTCGAGTCCTAGCTCCTGGCCCCGCCCTCTTCACCGGTTGCTACTAGGCCCTCTCTCTCCCCACTCCATGAGCTTTATCAAACCTCGTCTTAAAACTGTGTATGGTTCCTGCCTCCACTACGTCATTTTCTAGGCTATTCCACTGCCTTACAACTCTATGACTGAAGAAATACTTCCTACTATCTCTCTGACTCATTTGTGTCTTCAACTTCCAATTGTGGCCTCTTGTTTCTGTGTCCCCTCCCTGGAACATCCTGTCTTTGTCCACCTTGTCTATTCCACGCAGTATTTTATATGTCGTTATCATGTCTCCCCTGACCCTCCTGTCCTCCAGTGTGGTCAGGCCGATTTCCCTTAATCTTTCCTCATAGGACATTCCCCTTAGCTCTGGAACTAACCTTGTCGCAAACCTTTGTACTTTCTCTAGTTTCTTGACGTGCTTTATCAAGTGCGGGTTCCAAACAGGTGCTGCATACTCCAGTATGGGCCTGACATACACGGTGTACAGTGTCTTGAATGATTCCTTACTAAGGTATCGGAATGCTGTTCTCAGGTTTGCCAGGCGCCCATATGCTGCAGCAGTTATCTGATTGATGTGTGCTTCCGGAGACATGCTCGGTGTTATACTCACCCCAAGATCTTTCTCCTTGAGTGAGGTTTGCAGTCTTTGGCCACCTAGCCTATACTCTGTCTGTGGTCTTCTGTGCCCCTCCCCCATCTTCATGACTTTGCATTTGGCAGGATTAAATTCCTGTGTGTGTGTGTGTGTATGTATGTGTGTATGTATGTGTGTGTGTGGCATGAATGTGTGTGTGTGGTGTGAATGTGTGTGTGTGGTGTGAATGTGTGTGTGTGTGGTGTGAATGTGTGTGTGTGATGTGAATGTGTGTGTGTGGTGTGAATGTGTGTGTGCAGTGTGACGTGTGTGGTGTGTTAGCGTGTGTGGTGTGTGTATGCGTGTGTGGTGTGTGTATGTGTGTGTGGTATGAGTATTTTATGTCGTTATCATGTCTCCCCTGACCCTCCTGTCCTCCAGTGTCGTCAGGCCGATTTCCCTCAACCTTTCTTCGTAGGACAGTCCCCGTAGCTCTGGGACTAGTCTTGTTGCAAACCTTTGCACTTTCTCTAATTTCTTGACGTGCTTGACTAGGTGTGGATTCTAAACTGGTGCTGCATACTCCAGTATGGGCCTGCATGGGTCGGAACGCTATCCGTAGGTTTGCCAGGCGCCCGTATGCTGCAGCAGTTATCTGATTGATGTGCGCCTCAGGAGATATGCTCGGTGTTATACTCACCCCCAGATCTTTTTCCTTGAGTAAGGTTTGCAGTCTTTGGCCATCTAAACTATGTTGTGTCTGCGGTCTTCTTTGCCCTTCCCCAATCTTCATGACTTTGCATTTATACTCAAGGAGCCAGTTGCTGGACCAGGCTTGTAGCCTGTCCAGGTCTCTTTGTAGTCATGCCTGATCCTCATCCGATTTGATTCTTCTCATTAACTTCACATCATCTGCAAACAAGGACACTTCTGAGTCTATCCCTTCCGTTATGTCGTTCACATATACCATATGTACTCAACTAGTTGAGGTTGCAGGGGTCGAGTCCAAGCTCCTGGTCCCGCCTCTTCACTGGTCGCTACTAGGTCACTCTCCCTGAACCATGAGCTTTATCGTACCTCTGCTTAAAGCTATGTATGGATCCTGCCTCCACTACATCGCTTCCCAAACTATTCCACTTCCTGACTACTCTGTGGCTGAAGAAATACTTCCTAACATCCCTTTGATTCATCTGTGTCTTCAGCTTCCAACTGTGCCCCCGTGTTGCTGTGTCCAGTCTCTGGAACATCCTGTCTTTGTCCACCTTGTCAATTCCTCTCAGTATTTTGTAAGTCGTTATCATGTCCCCCCTATCTCTCCTGTCCTCCAGTGTCGTCAGGTTGATTTCCCTTAACCTCTCCTCATAGGACATACCTCTTAACTCTGGGGACTAGTCTTGTTGCAAACCTTTGCACTTTCTCTAGTTTCTTTACATGCTTGGCTAGGTGTGGGTTCCAAACTGGTGCCGCATACTCCAATATGGGCTAACGTACACGGTGTACAGGTCCTGAACGATCCTTATTAAGATGTCGGAATGCTGTTCGAGGTTTGCTAGGCGCCCCATATGCTGCAGCATTTTATTTGGTTGATGTGCGCTTCAGGAGATGTGCCTGGTGTTATACTCTCCCAAGATCTTTTCCTTGAGTAAATGTTTGTAGTCCCCGGGCCCCCTAGACTGTACTCTGTCTGCAGTCTTCTTTGCCCTTCCCCAATCCTCATGACTTCCCATTTGGGTGGGATTGAACTCCAGGAGCCAGTTGCTGGACCAGGTCTGCACCCTGTCTAAAATCCCTTTGTATTTCGCCTGGTCTTCGATCGAATGAACTCTTCTCATCAACTTTCACGTCATCTGCAAACGGGGAAAACCTGGGAGTTTTTTCCCTTCCGTCATGTCATTCACAAATACCAAAACAGCACTGGTCCTAGGACTGACCCCTGTGGGACCCCGTCTGGTCACAGGTGCCCACCTGACACCTCGCCACGTACCATTACTCGCTGCTGTCTTCCGACAAGTATTCCCTGATCCATTGCAGTGCCTTCCCTTTTATCCCTGCTTGGTCCTCCATTTTTTGCACTAATCTCGTGTGTGGTACTGTGTAAAAACCGCCTTCTTGCAGTCCAAGAAAATGCAATCCACCCACCCCTCTCTCCTCTTGCCCTTACTGCTGTCACCATGTCATAGAACTCCAGTAGGTTTGTGACACAGGTTTTCCCGTCTCTGAAACCATTTGTCTGCTGGTGATGAGATCATTCCTTTCTAGATGTTTTCCACTATTTTTCTCCTGACAATCTTTTCCATGATTTTCCCATGCAATACATGTCAGTGAACACTGGTCTGTATTTTTAGTGCTTCATGTCTGTCTCCTTTTTTAAAGATTGGGACCACATTTGCTGTCTTCCATCCCTCAGGCAATCTCCCTGTTTCGATAGAAGTATTGAATATCGTTGTTAGGGGTACACATAGCGCCTCTGCTCCCTCTCTCAGGACCCATGGAGAGATGTTATCTGGCCCTATTGCCTTTGAGGATCTAGCTCACTCAGAAGCCTCTTCAACTTTTTCCCTTTGGGTTTTGTGTGTACTGTGTCCAGCACATGGGGGTGTACCCCGCCTCTTCCGTCTTTCTGGAGCCACTTCTGTCTCCTCTGTGAACACTTCTTTGAATCTCTTGTTGAGTTCCTCACATACTTCACGGTCATTTCTTTTTTGTCTCCCCTCCTTCCTTCCTTAGCCTGATTACCTGGTCCTTGACGGTTGTTTTCTTCCTGATGTGGCTGTATAACAGGTTCGGGTAAGATTTGGCTTTTGCTGCTATGTCGTTTTCATATTGACGTTGGGCCTCCCTTCTTATCTGTGCATATTCGTTTCTGGCTCTACGACTGCTCTCCTTTTTCTCCTGGGCCTTTGCCTTCTATATTTCTTCCATTCCCTAGCACACTTGGTTTTTGCCTCCTTGCATCTTTGGGTGAACCATGGGCTCATCCTGGCTTTTTCATTATTCCTGTTACCCTTGGGTACAAACCTCTCCTCAGCCTCCTTGCACATTGTTGCTACATATCCATCATCTCATTAACTGGCTTCCCTGCCAGTTCCCCTGTCCCACGAACCTCATTTCAGGAAGTTCCTCATTCCTGTGTATTTCCCCTTTCCTGTATTTGGTTTCATTTGTCCTGGCCTCCTGCTTCCCCCTCCATTTGTAGTTCTACTGTGTATTCGAAGCTCAAACCACATGATCGCTGGGCCCCAAAAGGGGTCTTTCATATGTGATGTCCTCAATATCTGCACTACTCAAGGTGAATGCTATGTCCAGCCTTGCTGGTTTCAAACCTCTCCTCTCTCTCTTGAGTGTCCCCTTACGTGTTGGTAACATGAAGTTTTCCAGTACCACCTCCATCATCTTAGCCCTCCATGTATCTTGGGCCCCCATGTGGCTCCAAGTTCTCCCATTTTATCTCCTTGTGGTTAAAGTCGCCCCTGATCAGGAGCTTTGCCCTGCATGCATGACTCTTCTGGCCACTGCAGCCAGTGTGTCCAACCATCGCTCTATTGCTCTCGTCATAAAACGCTTGCCTTGGCCTCCTGCTGTTCTGTGGTGGGTTATACATCACTGCAATTATCACCTTGGGACCTCCAGAGTGAAGCATTCCCGTTATGTAAAACACTTCTTCTCTCCGCTGCTCCTCTCTCCAGCTCATCAAAATTCCATCGGTGTTTGATCAGCCAATGCCACTCCTCCACCCCCCCTGTTTTCCCCTGTCTTTTCTCAGGATCTGGTATCCCGCTGGAAAGATGACATCTGTTATCATACCTGTAAGCTTGGTTTCTGTGATCGCTATGATGTCTGGTGATGCCTCTTTGACTCTTTCGTGCCACTCCTCCCACTTGTTTGTTATTCCATCAGCGTTTGTGTACCATACCTTCAGTTTCCTTTCCAACACTGTGGTTTGGGTGGCCTGTGGGGGTGGGAGACCTGGTAGCATACTGTGGGATTCTATGGTTGGGGGTTGGGTGGAAGCTGTGGGTATGGATTGTATTGTGTGTTGGGATGGTGTGATAGGTTGTGGGGTTCTGA